ACATTTGTATGTCGATATATATCGTGAAACATTCACATTTGTATGTCTATATATATCGTGAAACATTCACATTTGTATGTCTATATATATCGTGAAACATTCACATTTGTATATATATATATATCGTGAAACATTCACATTTGTATGTCTATATATATCGTGAAACATTCACATTTGTACATCTATATATATCGTGAAACATTCACATTTGTATGTCTATATATATCGTGAAACATTCACATTTGTACATCTATATATATCGTGAAACATTCACATTTGTATGCCTATATATATCGTGAAACATTCATATTTGTATGTCTATATATATCATTATATATTCACATTTGTATGTCTATATATAGGGTGAAACATTCACATTTGTATGTCGATATATATATATGAAACATTCACATTTGTACGTCTATATATATTTCATTTGTACGTCTATATATATCGTGAAACATACATTTGTTCTATATATATATATTGAAACATCACATTTGTATGTCTATATATATGTGTTACATTCACATTTGTATGTCTATATATATCGTGAAACATTCACATTTGTATGTCTATATATATCATGAAACATTCACATTTGTATGTCTATATATATGAAACAAGGTCTATATATATACTCACATTCACATTTGTATGTATATATATCGTGAAACAGGGTCACATTTTATAGTCTATATATATCGTGAAACATCCACATTTGTACTCTATATATATGAAACATCCACATTTGTACATCTATATATAGGGTTGTAAACATTCACATTTGTAACAATATATATCTAACATTATAGGGTTATATATCGTGAAACAATTTGTATGTCTATATATACATTATATATTAGGGTTGATATACATAGAAACAAGGGTTCCTCTAACTCTATAGGGTTGTATATATTTCAACTAAAGGTTACTCTAATGATATAGGGTTGTATTTATCATAAAATGAATGGGTTACTCTGACCTTATTTATAACCTTTAGGGGTACATAGAAACAAGGGTTCCTCTAACCTATAGGGTTGTATACATAGAAACAAGGGTTACTCTAATCTACAGGGTTGTATACATAGAAACAAGGGTTACTCTAACTTATAGGGTTGTATTCATAGAAACAAGGGTTACTCTAACTTATAGGGTTGTATACATAGAAACAAGGGTTACTCTAACCTATAGGGTTGTATTCATAGCAACAAGAAACAAGGGTTACTCTAACCTTTAGGGTTGTATTCATAGAAACAAGGGTTCCTCTAACTTATAGGGTTGTATTCATAGAAACAAGGGTTACTCTAATCTATAGGGCTGTATTCATAGAAATAAAGGGTTACTCTAATCTACAGGGTTGTATACATAGAAACAAGGGTTCTTCTAACTTATAGAGTTGTATTCATAGAAACAAGGGTTCCTCTAATCTATAGGGCTGTATTCATAGAAATAAAGGGTTCCTCTAACCTATAGGGTTGTATTCATAGAAACAAGGGTTACTCTAATCTACAGGGTTGTATACATAGAAACAAGGGTTCCTCTAACTTATAGGGTTGTATTCATAGAAACAAGGGTTACTCTAACCTATAGGGTTGTATACATAGAAACAAGGGTTCTTCTAACTTATACAGTTGTATTCATAGAAACAAGGGTTCCTCTAATCTATAGGGCTGTATTCATAGAAATAAAGGGTTCCTCTAACCTATAGGGTTGTATTCATAGAAACAAGGGTTACTCTAATCTACAGGGTTGTATACATCGAAACAAGGGTTCCTCTAACTTATAGGGTTGTGTCCATAGAAACAAGGGTTACTCTAACCTATAGGGTTGTATACATAGAAACAAGGGTTCCTCTGACCTATATGACTGTATTCATAGCAACAAGGGTTCCTCTGACCTATAGCGTTGTATTCATAGAAACAAGGGTTTCTCTAACTTATATGGCTGTATTCATAGAACCAAGGGTTCCCCTAACCTATAGGATTGTATACATAGAAACAAGGGTTCCTCTAACCTATATGGTTGTATACATAGAAACAAGGGTTCCTCTAACTTATAGGGTTGTATAAATAGAAACAAGGGTTACTCTAACTTATAGGGTTGTATACATAGAAACAAGGGTTACTCTAACTTATAGGGTTGTATTCATAGAAACAAGGGTTACTCTAACTTATAGGGTTGTATTCATAGAAACAAGGGTTACTCTAATCTACAGGGTTGTATACATAGAAACAAGGGTTCCTCTAACTTATAGGGTTGTATTCATAGAAACAAGGGTTACTCTAACCTATAGGGTTGTATTCATAGAAACAAGGGTTACTCTAACTTATAGGGTTATATTCATAGCAACAATGGTTACTCTAACTTATAGGGTTGTATACATAGAAACAAGGGTTACTCTAACCTACAGGGTTGTATACATTGAAACAAGGGTTCCTCTAACTTATAGGGTTGTAATCATAGAAACAAGGGTTACTCTAATCTATAGGGCTGTATTCATAGAAATAAAGGGTTACTCTAACCTATAGGGTTGTATTCATAGAAACAAGGGTTCCTCTAACTTATAGGGTTGTATTCATAGAAACAAGGGTTACTCTAACCTATAGGGTTGTATTCATAGAAACAAGGGTTACTCTAACTTATAGGGTTGTATACATAGAAACAAGGGTTACTCTAACTTATAGGGTTGTATTCATAGAAACAAGGGTTACTCTAACTTATAGGGTTGTATTCATAGAAACAAGGGTTACTCTAACCTATAGGGTTGTATACATAGAAACAAGGGTTACTCTAACTTATAGGGTTGTATTCATAGAAACAAGGGTTACTCTAACTTATAGGGTTGTATAAATAGAAACAATGGTTACTCTAATCTACAGGGTTGTATACATAGAAACAAGGGTTCCTCTAACTTATAGGGTTGTATTCATAGAAACAAGGGTTACTCTAACCTATAGGGTTGTATTCATAGAAACAAGGGTTACTCTAACTTATAGGGTTGTATTCATAGAAACAAGGGTTACTCTAACTTATAGGGTTATATTCATAGCAACAATGGTTACTCTAACTTATAGGGTTGTATTCATAGAAACAAGGGTTACTCTAACCTACAGGGTTGTATACATAGAAACAAGGGTTCCTCTAACTTATAGGGTTGTAATCATAGAAACAAGGGTTACTCTCATCTATAGGGCTGTATTCATAGAAATAAAGGGTTACTCTAACCTATAGGGTTGTATTCATAGAAACAAGGGTTCCTCTAACTTATAGGGTTGTAATCATAGAAACAAGGGTTACTCTAATCTATAGGGCTGTATTCATAGAAATAAAGGGTTACTCTAACCTATAGGGTTGTATTCATAGAAACAAGGGTTCCTCTAACTTATAGGGTTGTATTCATAGAAACAAGGGTTACTCTAACCTATAGGGTTGTATTCATAGAAACAAGGGTTACTCTAACTTATAGGGTTATATTCATAGAAACAAGGGTTACTCTAACCTATAGGGTTGTATACATAGAAACAAGGGTTCTTCTAACTTATATGGCTGTATTCATAGAAACAAGGGTTACTCTAACCTATAGGGTTATATTCATAGAAACAAGGGTTCCTCTGACCTTTAGCGCTGTATTCATAGAAACAAGGGTTCTTCTAACTTATATGGCTGTATTCATAGAAACAAGGGTTACTCTAACCTATAGGGTTGTATTCATAGAAACAAGGGTTATTCTAACCAATAGGGTTGTATACATAAAAACAAGGGTTACTCTAACCTATAGGGTTGTATACATAGAAACAAGGGTTCCTCTAACTTATAGGGTTGTATACATAGAAACAAGGGTTCCTCTAACCTATATGGTTGTATACATAGAAACAAGGGTTCCTCTAACCTATATGGTTGTATACATAGAAACAAGGGTTCCTCTAACTTATAGGGTTGTATACATAGAAACAAGGGTTCCTCTAACCTATAGGGTTGTATACATAGAAACAAGGGTTCCTCTAACCTATATGGTTGTATAAATAGAAAAAAGGGTTCCTTTAACTTATAGGGTTGTATACATAGAAACAAGGGTTCCTCTAACCTATATGGTTGTATAAATAGAAACAAGGGTTCCTCTAACTTATAGGGTTGTATACATAGAAACAAGGGTTCCCCCCATCAGATTATATAAGTGTTTTCTATATATCTGTTTAATCATTTTTCTGAAGGGAAATGACTATTACCACCCACGCATGGAATTATTAAACATGCGCTGAATATTTGATGAAGCAACACCAGGAAGTGGCTCCATCATCTTCAAAACAGTGAAAAAGATAAAAAAAAAAATCCCAAATAAAGACACTTAAGAGCACTACATGAATACTAAAAGTAAATGTCCTTTTCTTGGAAACTAACTATCATCTTGTGAGCAATGGGACAAACCTTTGTAGGATATTTTGGTGAAGTATGTAGTAGATGGCACACTACACACTTTCCTGTTCTTGGAATAAATTGGATGTAACATGTTTGTTAATTATAAATTATTTTTTGCCATGTGAAGATTTTATTCAACCTGCTATTTTGTAATAGGATTCTCTAATAGTATACCTGTTTTACACGACTATTTTTCTCCACTTAAGGATAATAGACAATCTCGGGTTACCTTTAACTGTCCAATAAGGAAGTTACACAAATGTACTTAGATATGTTTCGTCACAGGTAACATATAGAACAGTTACAGGTAACATATAGAATAGTTACAGGCAACATATAGAACAGATACAGGTAACATATAGAACAGTTACAGGTAACATATAGAACAGTTACAGGTAACATATAGAACAGATACAGGTAACATATAGTACAGTTACAGGTAACATATAGAACATTCACGTTTTGATGCGGAGATTTTTATCCATTGTTAAAGTTATTCAGTTTTAGGTAACTGTAATTAGCTTATCATCAATACTCTATAGTGACGTACACAAACAACGCGTGGTGTGATTCGGACTCACCTGTGTGAAGGTACGTAAGTCCCCCAGGTTTGTGTAATGTACGACTCCCTCCGATACATGGTTGTATTATGTACAGGATCAGTAAATAAGCCAGGTGATACGCCACACAGAACATCGAACACATCCTACCATCGACACCTGTGTCATCGCCAATCGTCTACAAACTTGTCAAATTCTGCTACACCCGACAACACTGTGAAAATCTAGGTAAGAATCCAACGATCCAGTTCATGACTTGTATGTTCTGCCCAGCCCGTCATTACAATGCAAAATGTCCTATAAATAAATACGTTCTACCTGTCGGGTCGATACCCAGCTATACACACCGGCTTTTAATTGTAAATAGTCATGTTACGCAGTCATCCGAGTCGAACGCTTTCGTTGTAACTTATCTCTAAAACACAGTATCACTCAGCTAATAAGAACTTGCTTCTTTGGCTCATCAGTAACAGGTGGTAGAGCCGGAGAAATGGGTTCGATTCCTTTCAGGCCACGCGGAAAGAATGAGTATTTTCCTTGTTATTTCACATGTATAATACACATGTATGTACACATATGTAAAAAGTAATTCTTCTTTGATTGTTTGATCAACACAAACTACGGAGATAATGCTTTACCTTGTTCAGCTGACCAGCGATACGGAGATGTTAACAGGATCTCAATTCACGCTCCATTTCGATAACACTCCGACATTTACATAGTACATTAACATTCAAATACCCATAAGTATCATTTTCTGTCGATTACAAAAATAAAACACAGTATATAACATTGGTTACGTCTTGACCTGTGATATAAAAGATTTTCAGTGTATTATATAACATTGGGTACGTCTTGACCTGTGATATAAAAGATTTTTAGTGTATTATATAACATTGGGTACGTCTTGACATGTGATATAAAAGATTTTCAGTGTATTATATAACATTGGTTACGTCTTGACCTGTGATATAAAAGATTTTTAGTGTATTATATAACATTGGTTACGTCTTGACCTGTGATATAAAAGATTTTTAGTGTATTATATAACATTGGTTACGTCTTGACCTGTGATATAAAAGATTTTTAGTGTATTATATAACATTGGTTACGTCTTGACCTGTGATATAAAAGATTTTCAGTGTATTATATAACATTGGGTACGTCTTGACCTGTGATATAAAAGATTTTCATCGCGGAAAAAGATAATTTCAACGTTTGTTTATCAACCATTCTAATGTTAGGGTGGTCGGATGGCGCAGTGGTAACGCACTCGCCTTTCACCTAGTTCGATTCCCGGAACGGACGTGAAAAGGTAAGGAGTCACCTGCCGTACCACGTGGGTTTTCCCCGGATACTCCAGTTTCCTCCCACAATAAGACCCCTCGCGCACTTACATCCGGGCCAACAAGAGTGATTAGTATAAGTTGTTTCGCAATTGTTGTAAAATAAATAAAGTTTATATTGATATTTATATCTAATGTTGTACAACGACAACATCAAACAGCTGTTTAGCCCGCGAGAGCTATCGTATAATTAATGATATCATAATTTTTAAGGAGAACTGCTTTTCAATTCAACAAAGAATAGAATATATATGTCATAATTATCCTTATATTATAAAACATTTGGCACGAGATTCGCAGTATGAAACATTACAACAAAACTCAATATTGGCTGGGTTATATACCGCATATACGTTTTTAAACTTGTTTTTTACTTCCAAGAATCACAAACTTCATGGTCTGTTAAAACAGGTCTTTATGTTTACTTGAATTCGTGACATCTATACCAAATCACTTACCGAGATATTTTCGGTTACACAAACCCAAACGATTTTATCTTTGTGTGCGATGTTTAATGCCGAACCGGAAACAAATCTGCTGAGCGATAAGTCAATGGATGTTGACGTTAATGTTTTTAATGGTAGATTGGTTGGAAGACTATTTGAATGTAGGAATATATCACAATTAATATATTGTAAAATTACAATGTCATTTCATTACTTCAATACACAGGGACTTTGCACAAATTCTCAACCCAGTGATCATATAGATATGTGTATTATAGTAGCCATGATATGGTCGATGGGTTGCAAATTCGTGCCAAGTCCCTGTGCTTCAATATCACACAGACGAAACCCAGCACGCAATGACATAACATATGTTGTGTGAACAGAAAAAAACAACGGTGCTTGTTTACTTAGACGTTTAAGTGCTCTGAATTTAAACTTTAAATAGACACGTACAGAATACTTGGGTCAAAGCTAATGTAGATTGTTTAAAATGGTCTTCACTTGTCCGTGGAGCGTACGTCTACGTACATCAGGTGAGGTCTGAGGTGCGTGGGTCGATGCTCCCTACCTGTGTAGTCCAGTAGAAATCTTCTGAACCTAGAAATGTTCTTTCCTATGAACTTTTTGTATTTTTTGCATTGCCATGTAGTCCTGGAATGAATGTGGCTTTGTTGCCATAATGGCAGGTTTGGGCAAATTTAGTAATTTGCATCAATCCAATATGGCCGCCAACTGCTTGAAAAGTTAATTTATTAAGCATTTGTCCTAGATTGATGTATAATACATGTTTTATGGGGTGTTTCAGGGCGTAGAATCGATTTATGGTACTAGTTTGTCGATTCAACAACAGTGTTTGGCTGTAAAGGTCAAACTTGACTACTTTTTTGTGATATTTAGGTCAAATCAAGATATTATGTTGTCTTTGTTCTCAGAATTTGTCATGGCTGATTTAACGCCTGATCCAAGGAAGTGCCTTCTGACGACTTGTAACAGATCTGGACCTCTTCAAACTTTCAAGCTGCAAGCGGTCAAGAAAGTTATTGAGTGTGCAATAGAGCGACATGACAAGGAGTCCCTTGCAACAATGCAAAGTATTTTTGGATTCTCAGGGACCTGACGTTTCAGTTGAACTCCATAAAAACTGTTATTGTTCATTTACATCGAAAGAACATAAAACGTCACTTGGCAAGAAAAAAAGGAAGGATGGTTCGGTAGACAGCGAAGAGCCACCAGTTGCAAGAGTAAGGACGTTACAAGGACTGGAGTTCGATTTCTAAAACCAATTCCTGTTCTGTGGCAAAATCTGCAACTCTTTGGACCCCAAACACCCTGATAGATGGGAAAGGGTAATACAGTGCGAAAGAAAAGGTGTTAAAGATGCGCCAACTTTCAAAGATGTTGCATTGCAATATTGTAACGACTGTAACGATGAATGGAGCAGGGAAGTCCCCATACGCTGTCATAGTGTACATGATCTTTCTGCAGCTGAGGCGCAATACCATGTTCACTGTTTTGATGAATTTCGAAAGGTGCCTGTTCATTCTGAAAAGACCAATTTTGTGTACATTTGAGTTAGGGAATAATGCATCTATGGAGACCCGGGACGATGGCGTGTTTGGCCATGACAAGGCAGATGTCACGATGATATCATATGTACTAAAGGCTGGCAATTGTGACAAGGCATGCTAAGCGACGACCCAAATGTGTTTGTTCAGCTAATATATTGGGTATATTGGGCAGAATTGCAGTGCAAGGTGCAAATGGAGCGATGGAATGGAACCGTGCTGGATATCAATGCGACATGCGCCGACCTCTGATACAAATGCTTGCAGCTGTTGGGCATGCATGCTCTAAGTGGGTGTGATACAACCTCATATCCATATGGTAAAGGCAAGATCGGTGCACTTAATACCTTGCTTGCCGGAAACTTTGAAGGTTTGGCCGATGTACTTGTCGAGAAAGGCACAACAACGCAGGCAGACTTAATGGCAGCAGCTAAACCCTTCTTCGCTGTTCTGTTTGGTCAACCATCTGATATGTCAATGGAGTCTGCTCGGTTCACACTCTTCACCAAGAAGAAGAAAAATCCCAAGGAAATGGCCATTCCTCCTACAACTGCCAACCTGTTACAGCATGTGCTGCGAGCTCACCTTCCGGTCATGTTATGGAAAGCTGCAGGTCATCAAGGTCCACCAGATGAATCATCTGATATCACAGAATTTGGCTGGGAGATTCGCGATGGCATACCTGTTCCCAATATTTCACGGGGAAATCCAGCTCCACCAGAGCTGATCGATGTCATCCAATGTCCGTGCAAGGCACAGAACAACAGATGCATCACAAAGGCCTGCAATTGTCACAAAGAACATCTTACGTGCACGTCATGCTGCTCGTGTTGTGGAGAGAAAGACTGCTCCAATCCATACACCAGGACACACGCTGGCGGCGATGGAAGTGTAGAGGCTCCTAGCGTTGTTGAGGACGTTGATAGTCAGGAGGAGGGTTTCGAAGACGTCTCTAACCAGGAGAGTGGAGATAATGAAGATACTGGGGATGTGTCTGATCAAATAAATACAGATGATGAATGGGTGTAAAAATAAAAGAATCCATAGACTATGTAGTCGAGATGAAACCAGTTTCAGTGTACGGCAACCAAGCCTTCTGTGACTATGTTGCAACACAAATCAAAAGTTCATAGGAAAGACAATGTCTAGGTTCAGCCATTGCAGGCATAGGGCTGTCAACTGGACTAGTGTCTGTTTCTCTGAAAACGGACTCGGTTTGTGCTGTCACGATTCATGTGCACGAGAATATACCGGAATCGGTAAGAGTTCCTTTTGAACCCCCACCCAAAGTGTCTACCAATGGGTTATTATACCTAGTAAATATAATACAAGTGTCTGAAAGGGTTGATTTTAAGGGTTATCAAGAAAATCAAATGGTAAATATCGTACTCACCTATTGACATGGAAAGACTATGTCCTGTAGAAACCTTTCAAACTCTATACTTTCAGCATCAGTCTCTGATGCAGATGCTGAACTTACTGAAGTTTCCTCAATAGCCAACTTATGGAAATTTATTAAAAAAACAGTAAATCAGTAACAAACTTTTCCGCAGGGACAAATGGTATCCAGAAAACCATGTATTCTTCCACAGAGGGTCCTGGTTTTTATGGCTGACTTTACATTTTCTGCGGTTACATTGAAATTTGTATGTGCAACGTCTGTGTCCGGCACGTTGTATAAGTATTCAACTTATCTAAAGTATTTCGACAGTTTGTACAATTTGCAGATTTTGGTAATAGCTTGAAGTCCTGACAAAATTTAATACATTTGTCATC